GCATCTACAGTTAAAATGGATTATTGTGTCCGAGCACTTTTACTTGCAGACGTACAGAAGGTGAATTTATTTTTGGTACTTTTCCCACCACGAGGCTGTACTTGTAATTCCTTCCAGATTGTGAGTCTTTTTGCCAGCTGTGGTGTAAAACAAACTGGAAATATGAGCGCGCACGAAGCACTTTTGTCACAAGTTCCGCTTCCATTAGTAACAAGAGCACTTGAGGATGAACACATGAATTATGAAGGCTTGCCGGCTTATTATTCATGAGGGTGACACAGTGAGGCAGCAGACTTCCTTTCAGCTGGATGCCTCGGCTCCAAGCTGGCGTGCTGGCAAAAGCCTTCGTCCCACCCCACCCTTTGGTGTCCTTGAGACGCTCCGAGGTGTGGGCACATTCGAGTCACTGTATTTCCCTTTCATAGCACTTTTTTCCCGGCCATTTTTACCCCCCTCAATGCATTCGATTATTGGCAGAAAAGAGGCCATTTTGAGGATGCGTGTGCGTGGGTGCGGTACCGCTCTGACGGTGCACAGCAGGCGGCTGTAGCAGAAGAAGATGATGCCAAGGGGGATGACAAAATGCAGGACGAACATGTAGACGACAAACGAGGCGTTGTTGATCTCCGGTTTGGGCGTGTAGTAGTCGATGCCGCACGAACACTGCATTCCCTCTGGGATGTACCTGCGTGCGCACCCGTGCGTAAAAACCACTCGTGGCGTCACCACGATGGACGTCATGGGGGGAGGACACAATGGGAATAGTTTGAGCAATTATTGAATGGAGTTTCAAGGAATGGAAAAGGGACGTATGACGAACCAAATCTTTCCTTGGGCCATTTTGAAAATGAAACGACAAAAGTGTTTTGTGCGTGAGACCCGGTCACCAGCCAATCGACGAACGCGCATGGAGAGACCACCGAGCGGAGGTACGAACGCTCGGTTCCCATCGGCGGCTCTCGGGCTGAAAACTCTTCTCCGCATAGCAGCATAATGACCGACACTTCCAACGCGGCAGCGTCGCGGTGCCGAGTGTGGATGAAAAACCAAGCCCGGATTTTAGTGCCGAAAAAAGGGTCGTAGGAACACGCTTGAATATAGCCAAACAATTAGCTGCGCTTCAAAGGGATAAGTCGAGTTCCGTGCACCCCCGGGAGGCGTTTTTTACGCATCTCAGCGGGCGGCCATTTTGCCTCGCAATGCCATTTGCTGTCTGGTGCAAAATGACATGGCGGTGCCTCGTGGCTCAAGTCAATCGACATCTGGAACAAACTGAGTTTACCGGATTCCAAAATATATGGATCACTTTTCTACCCTTCTGTGGAATGGAAACAACGATTCTTTCTCGCCGCGACGAAAAGCCTCGAGCGAAGCGAACGGCTTTGGAAGGTGGGTGGAAGCTGGAGAAAAGCTCCACAAAGACGAGTTTGCCACCCCCGGCGATCGCTCATCGATCATCCGGCGCGCCGTCGCGACGATGCCGGCACGTGGAAGGAAAACCGAAGCAAAGCGCCTCATACCGCGACCATCCGAGCAGGGGGGGCGCGGCGCAAGTCAAAGCCATGATCCAGGTGAGCGCCAGGCCGCAGACGGCGTGCTTCTCCCCAAAGCGGAAGTTGATCATGGGTTTGCACACCACCAGGTAGCGCTCGATGGCCAAAACCACCAAGGACCACAGGGCCACCTCGCCTGCAAACAAAGAGCGGCGAGACACAAAGACGGCTGAGCGCGCCGCGCCGCGGGATTTGACGGCGCGGCGCGCCCACGACCCCCGACCTCCGAGCGTGGCGAAGAAGCCTTCCACGTAGCAGCCGACGACGCCCAGGCTGAAGTAGCCGCGCAGGGCGGCGTGCAGCGTGACGGTGAAGCCCCCCAGCACCATGCAGAGGTCGGCCACCGCCAGGTTGAGCAGGGCGTAGTTGAGGGGCGTCCGCAGCTTCTTGTGCTGGAGCGTCACGTACAGCGTCAGCGAGTTGATGGGCAGGGCGGTGACGATGAGGAAGAGCATGTAGGCCGCCACCAGCGAGTACTTCCAGGGCTCCGCCAGGTAGTACTGCGGGTACTCGAAGGGGCTGCGCACAAGCCCCGTCTTGTTGGACATGGGCACGTAAAAGTCGGGGCCTTCCGTGCCGTTCATGGCCGCGACGGTTGGTGGGTTTTTTTTTTGGGCTTGTCTCGGCAACGCGGGGTGAGGCAGTCTGACGGGATGAAGACGAGCTCTGCGGCCCCCCGAGGCGGCGAGCCACCTTTTAACGTGCCGCGCGCGGGGATTACGGGGCCGCGTGCAAAAATGGAATTAGCGCCATCTCGGCCTTGTCTTCTCTCTGTGACCTCCGCGCGGGAGCGAGCGAGCGAGCGAGCGAGAGAGAGAGAGAGAGAGAGAGAGAGAGAGAGAGAGAGAGAGAAAATGAAAAGCAGCTTCAGGAATTGGGCGACTTTATTCAGGCGCTGGCGTTGGCTGGATGTCGTGATGTTACGTTGCTTGCTTGCAGGCTGCGTGATTTTATCGCCACCGTGGCCTTGATTGAGCGACGACGAGCGTTTGCAAGAGCGGCTCAAAAAAAACAAATGCCACGAGGGATGGGAGCGCTTTAACGGTTGGAAAAATGTCCCTTGGGGGAGGTGCGGGGGGGGGGGGTCCCTTGGCCGCCCCCCTCCCCCAAAAGAATCTGCCCACGCAGGAGACTTTGCGGAGCCGTCAGGTTGGCACGAAGCAAGTGAAGCTGCTGCTTCTGCCGCTTGAAAGTCGCAGCGTTCAAAGTGCATTTCAAGGTGACGCAACGAGCTGGCAGCCAAATCTTGCCACAGTGTTGTTTATTGACAAGAGTAGAAAAATAGGTTGTCTTTGCTAAAATAAGGAATGACGTCCTTCGGACTCTTGTATGAAACATATGCTACAGCTCCCAAGTACAAGGAAAGGCTGGCGCATCTTTGGCCATTCGTACGCGGCCTTTCCATCCGCGGGGACGTCGCTTTGGAGTCGGCCCGCCCGGCTCGCGGCCCGTCGGCGAGCGCCGGGGCCGACGGTCCGTCTCCGGCGACGCGTGAGAGGAAGGGCCCGCGCGGCGTCGCCCGTCCATCAGTTGGGCTCATCGATGGGCCTCCGACAGAACGGACAGCGGTTGTGCTGGAGCAGCAGAAGCTCGTAGTCTTCGCTGTGGAACATCTGCCCGCAAACAAAAGCGCGTCATCTCATCGGGAAGCACAAAACGACGCGGGAGGTTGCGGCGGCCGCTTTTCGCGTCGCCGCCGCCGAGTGCGACCGCCGGGAGGGCGCCGTGGCGTCCGGCCGGCCACTTTTTGCCAGCCGCGCGCGTACCTTGAAGCAGGTGGGACACATGGTGATGCTGACGTCAGGAAGCAGCGAGCGGAAGTACTCCCATTTGAGCGGCGCCGGCCAGCGCTTGATCAGGACGTCCCTCCTGCTCATGGAGCGCAGCACCGAACGATTCACCTTGACGGGGACAAAGTGCGAGCCGCCCTGCTGCTCGGAGGAAAAAAGGTCATGCGCATCGTCCTCTCGCCCCGCCCCCGCCGCCGCGCGACCCGCCCTTCTCTCCTTTCTTACCTCAAAGATCATTTTGGGGGCGAAGGGGTCTTCTTCCGCATCTTCCAAACCGTCGTCCATCTTTAACACCTGCGCATCTGAAAGTGCACGACAAACGGTGACCGTGCGGCCCGTGTGCCAAAATGAACAATCAAAAGCCCATTCGGCGATCCCGCGCTTCGGGTCGCGGCGGCATCGAACGTGACATGTCCGTTTCCAGGGGGTTGCAAACAAATCGTGTCGTGCTTGCGGTGCAACTTTGCGATGATTCAGTGCTCCTCGAGACAAAAATCGGGGCGGGCCAAAGGAAAACAAAACAAAGCATTCGGTGATGCCCATTTCCCCCCCGAATGATTTGATTTGCTTCTTGCAACTGTTTGGAGCCCCCCGAAAATGAAGGCCCTCCCACCTCAAATGGCGATTCCCTATTTTGGGGTGAAGATCGATCCTCTCTCACCCGAATAACATGTGACTCGATTTCAGGTCCAACGTCCCAAAAAGCCCGTCGCCGGCCGGCCGAGGGCGCGTTTGGCTTTGTCAAAAGCGTAACGCGGTCTTGCGGCCTCGCGCGTGCTTAGCGAAAGCCCGGCGCGCTCGACTTAAAGAGCTTAGCTGTTGAAAGTGCCACCTCGGTTGTTTGTGTCGTCGGCCGGCGGAGAGCGAGGGCCTTCGCTGCCCTTGAGCGTCCCGCCGGCTAATGCGGCTTTAATCCCGCCGCTCGGGCGGGCCGCGCTCGCGGCTCTCCCGGGGTTAGCGTCATTAAGATGAGACGCGCTAACCCTATTAGCGCCACGGCTAAGATGACTTAGCGGCCGCGGCTTAACTCCGACCGCGCGCCCTCAAAGAAGCGGCGCGGTCCGAAGGCCGAAGAGTATTTGGGTTACCGTTGTCCAGATGCTGCCACGGCGCATCGGTCCGCTCCGCGTGAGGGACTTCCAGGTCAATGAGAGACACGGCTTCCTCGTCGCCGACGCCGTCCTCCAAGTAGAACTGCACCAGCGGCAGCACCTCTGCGCACACGACCGCTCGGGAGGTTCAAAGTCCACCGATGGCGTCGTCATCGCGCACGCCGACGTGGCGCCGACTTTGGCGCCGCGCTCACCGTACGACGAGGCCGAGTAAATGAAAGGCTGCTTGCAGTTGAGGCACGCCGTCCCCTGGTTGTTCAGCAGCGGCTTGTTGGAGCAGCGGTAACACATCAAGGCTTCCGTCAGTTCCTTTTTGCGTCGGAAAGGAAAGGAAAGGAAAAGGTGTCACGGGTGCGAACGGAAGAGGGATGAGCGGAAGAGGGCGCGCCGCCAACCTCGCTGTCGTGAAAAGGCTTGGCCCGGATGGTGAGGCTGTCCAGTTCGATGCACTCCTGAAAGCGAGACGGAATGTGGAGCTTCTGCAGCTTCTCGTAGCAAAGTCTGGCCAGCTTGTAGGCGCCCAGTTTTCGACTTTGCTTGGCCAAAGCGTACAAGGTGTTACTTGGGAGCGGGTCAAGGAAAAAAAAAACGAGATGTCAATCATGCACGCCTGAGGCGCCGCATATTTGTATTTACGTGCAGACGGTGATTTTTTTGGGGCTTTTTTTTTCAACATTGGGCAAAAAAAAATCCGTAAATCGGCAAATTTGCCTTGGGGGGGGGGGGGCAAGCGAGATCCACGGCATGGCACCGTCGTCATTGGAAGCATGTGACGCAACGGCCCGACGGCCCCCGGCCGCGCCGGATGAAAGTGGCAAGCTGCAGACCGGCCGCCTCGGCCGCTTTGTGGAAGCGAAGGATACACTTTAAAAATGCCCGGCGGCGGCTTGTCCTTGGGGAGGTTGCTCAGGAGGAACCTGCAGATGTTGAACAGCGACTCCGGCATCAGGGAACTGAAGGGCTCATCCTGGAGACAAAAAAAAAAGACGGGAAGCAAATGAAAGAGTCTGCTATTCACTACCGCCGAGTTCCAGAAGGTCGCCGAAATAAGGCCGGTGTGAGAAAAGCGCGACAGTATCAACCACTTGGTCAGCCGTGGCTCTTTGCAAAAGACCCTAACCCTATATCTTCTAGCAAGCGAAGCCCCGCCCCTCCTTCTCCGCCACGCGCAGGAACGAATTTGGAGCTTGCAACCGGCCATCGGAGTCGGTTGCGAGCCGGAGTCGGGCCTGGTCCTGCTCTCACCGTGTAGCGCTGAATGGGGTGGTAGACATGGTAGAGCTCTGCAAGCGTCTGGAAATGTTCAAACTTTGTCAGCATTTCATCTCGCTGGTCTTGGTTTTCTGTTGCGGACAAACGCAGCCGTTAAGAGACGGAGCGAGAACGACGAAAGCCGACAAAAGGCGTCCGGACGCGGCGGGCGGGCCTCACCTCTGGCGATGTCCAGACACTGCATGGAGAGCATCCAGTAGTAATAGCCGGCGTCATCGAAGCGCCTCTCCACCACGGCGTTGCGGGTGAGCTGCTCCAGCACTCTGACGGCTTCGTTCTGTCGCCCGGCCTTGTGAAACGCTAGGGAATCGAAGCCGGAGCGTATTGAGCATTCAAGACGCTCCTTTCACCCGCGTCGGAGGAGCGCTTGATGCACGCGCGGGCAAACAGCCCCGATTGTTGTTTGGCGGCAAAGCTCTCCTCTCCTCTCAGCGCTAAAGAATTTGGCAGAGGCCAACGTCAGCATGTGTGCGCTATTGTTAGCGCTGCTATCAGAGTGTAATTAGAAGCAGCTTGACGCGCCGGCAACCCTGCCCGGAAAAACCGCAGCTGGGGGTCCCGATATACTGATGTCGGTTGTTGAACGGGCCGACCGCTTTGGCTGTGCCAGAAACACGCCAACGCGTACTCGACGGGAGGCTACGTAGGCGGCCTCCCTCTCTCTCCGTCCGATCCTACCGTCGGGCTCGTAAGATGACGACTTTTTAGCCTGACCAAAAGGTGCCGTTTTGAATCGGTGAATCAAGACGACGCTGCGTTCTTGAAACGGAGCAACGTTGAAATTGAGATGGCACTCCGGGCGACGCGGATTACCGGGGGTCGTCACAAAATTGAAGAACCCCTCCGAGATCCGGCCACCCATCCGTTTGCCACGGCGCTTCACCCGAACGGGGTGGCGGGGAGTCGCCGGGAGGGCGCACTGAGAGACAAACGACCATT